GTTTTCAAGACCTTGGATTGGCTTGCTTTCAAAGCATTAACATTGACGGGAGGTACTTGAGCCACCTACGTTTTGCAGATGACATTGTGGTGTTTAGCAGTGAACATTAGAAGAGCTCACCAACATGTTGAATTAGCTAAAAGAAGCATCACAAGCAGTGGGGCTTCAGATGCACTTAGGTAGGACATCCTAGACAACACTGATGTTGTAGACTTTCTTGCAATAAACGGTCAAAAACACCCTAAATTCCCCCTATAAAAACAAACCCATGAAAACCGCCTGGTTCGTTGATCTTCTCAGCGAAGACCTTTTTTAAGTGCCCGACCAGGCGGGTAAGGGAAGAAATTCCAGTCCGCACCAGAAAATCGAACGCGTAGCATCGCTCCTACAGGCACTTGCGTGCACCCCCTCAAATTATTTGGTTTACCCGTGGTCTAATTTGACACGGGCCCCTATATTGGAATTTTGATTAGTGTGCCATAAAGGGCTCAGTGTCTTCGTGATTGGAACCATATCTAGTTCCAACCAACCCACAACCCCGACCTCCTGAAGATTATTCGAAATACAAATTCGTGCAGTACCGGACTGCAGCAACGTTGCGGACGCAACAAGGCTTGCTCATCTGGATCGAAAAAAGTCGACCAAGCAAATTACTCTGGGAGCTGAGAGACAACAGGCTGCTTGCTTCAAACCTGTGAGTTTTTCTTTTTAAACTTTATTTCCCGTTGAAGACAATGTTTCACCGTCAATAGCTAGCGGTAGTGTGCATTAAAAATTAGTTCAAAAATAGTACTAACAAGACCTTTGGTTCACTTTTGGTAACTTATATTCTTAGTTTTAAGCTAAAGGTACGTTTTATCTTTGTAAATTAGATTTAGGAAACATTTGTAGATTTCAAAATTGTATTTGTAGGTATACAATCTTATTTAGTTATTAAACGGGTAAAAAGTTAGTGTTGGTGTTTTTGTCGTTGCAGTTTTCATTAAAACTCAGCACGGATATTATTAAATTCACCCTTGGAAAAATCCACTTGATCGTTTGTTATTACGTCACAAGACTAATTTGTGACGGCCCTAGATTCTTCCATTGATAAGTTCACATTGTCAGTGCGAATCATTCAACTGATATTGAAACCTAGGCCATAAAATACAGTTAGGGAGTGAAAACCAAACGATGGTGATTACAAGAAAGGTGTGCCTCACCTGGCAAAGTGTAGAACCTCTCTCACACCGCAGGAAATCCTAAAACTCCAATTAATCTAAACCGGAAGACGTTCGAGAGCTGCATTCTACCGGTCATGACGTGTGGCCTTCAGACTGTGAACTTCACACAAAAAGTGTCAATCGCCTCTGAGTGTATCCAGAGAGGACAGGATAAGGAACGATGACATTAGGGGCAGGACGGGAGTCTCAGACGTCATGGAGACGGTGGCAAGGAATAAGTGGAGATAGGCTGAACCTGTGGCGAAGGACGGTGTCAAGTAGACCAAGGCTATCCGCCAATGGCGACCTAGAGAAACAAGAAGAAGTGTTGGGCGACCCCAGACGAGGTGGTGAGACGACATTCAGAGACATGCCGGGAAAAACTGGATCCACACGGCGCAAGATCGACTACATTGGAAGAGACGTTCAGGAATGGCCGAGAATGGGCAAATAATGAATTATATAAAGTGGTTGAAATATGGTCAAAAAGAATGGGAGAAGCAACCATTGGGCCTCCTCGATAACCTGATCTAAACAATCGATTTTGCACCTTTAACAAGGCAAAATATAGACAGACTTAAAAACGAAGCATCTGAGTGAACAGCTAGTAAATCAGTCGCTATAGCTTCAGCTTCAAATTTTAAACATTTGGAAATAATTTGTATTCTTTAAAAAAATCCACCCCCACCTCAGCTCAATGGATTTTGGCAGACGTTGAGGTCTCTGAGTCTTTAATAGGGAAAATATCATCGGTTAGCGTTTGCAACCGCCCGAAAATCGGTAAAAATGACTGAAAAATATCCATTTTTTCGGAACTGAATCTTTCAGCATCTTTTCCCATGCCATCGTTGCAATCGTTGTCTCCTCGAGATGATAATAATGCGAAATTTTAGATGTTGAGAGAAACTTTATATTTTTTGAAAAAATCAACCCCAAATACAAAATTTTCTCTGAAAATTCAAAATTTCTCAAGCGGGTTGCTTGAACTCAAGGAATTGTTTGCGGCCTTAGAAGCTAGAAGGTGAAAAATATGCAAATTTTTTAGGTCTGAGTCTTTATTAGAAAAAATATCGTCGGTTAAAGTGTGTGCCGGTCCAAGAATCGCTTAAAATGACTCAAAAATTTCTATTTTTCAGGACCTGAATCTTCCAACGTGTTTTTCCATGTCGTTGCATTCGTCGTTTCCCCGAGATGATAAGAAGTAAAAAAATCTTTGTTTCCCATTATTGTTATATTTGGTTAATTAATATTTTGTTAATTCTTCGCTTTATTATTGGTTCAGAAATTTTTTTTTGGTAGTTATTATTAAGTAATATTTTTCTTATTTTTTAAAAATTTTCTTGTCTGTAATTTGGGTGTGATAATTTTATAGCTCTATCTGTAAGTGCAGTTATTACGCTTTTTTCATGTTTTTGGGGTGCATATGAATTATAGTTTAAATATCTTCCTGACCAAACTTTTTTTGTATACCAATTTGTTTTTATTTCACCTGAATTATAATAATTTACTGTTATGTCTAAAAAATGTATAGATTGATTTTTATCCTTTTCTATTGTAAATTTTATGGCGTCGTGAAAATTGTTGAATTCATCTAGGGTATATTGAATTTCATCTTTGGGCAAACACATTAAGCAATCATCCACATAGCGTTTAAAGAAAGTTGGTTCATAATTTAGGTTTGTTATTATGTTTTTTTCCAAGCTTTCCATGACAAGGTTTGCAATTGTAGCTGATATGGGGAAAACCATTGCTACACCGTATATTTATGAATAATATTTTTCTTCAAACTTGAAATATGTAGAATTTAGGCAATATTTCTACCGCTTCAATAAATTATTTTTCGGGAATTGTTGAATGTTGTTCGATTTCCTTCCATTTATTTCTTATACACTCTAATGCATATTCAATTGGGATATTGGTATATAATGATGTTACATCAAGCGATACTAAACAGTGATTTTGTGGTATTTTTTCGTTTTCTCAATACATGCATACCACTCTCGCAAATCTAGAAAATAATTCAGACAAATTTAAGGTTTCAAGAAGGCAAAGACCTAAAAGTACGTTGATTTTTACCGTTCATTAGGTAAGTTATTCCGGTGTTTTGCTCGCCCAAAAAAAATTTGTTTTCCCTCATTAACTGATGAATACTCTTACACTTTCTAAATTATAATTTTTATACAACACGTTTTAATTGTGAATTGGTGTTTGTAGTTTGTGTAAATTTTAAATCTGATGATGGCGCTGTTGTCTCGCCGAAACGCAATGAAACAGACGATATTCAAAATTTTTACTTCACACTTTGACTGAGACCCAGGAAAGATAAGAATGTCATTCCTTCTAAAGGTTAGATAGCGAAGCCGGAGGAAATAATATAAACCAGAGAGGAAGGGGAAAAACTGCAACTTTTCATGAGATAAATAGCTCTGATCGTTGGCTCCAGAGCTGATTTACCGGAAACTTTTCTGAGACCAATAGCGAAATAAGCGACAAAGTGAAATTTACTTGGAATCACAACTCCCTACCCATTTTAATCCAAATATGGCATAAAATGATCAAAAATCGATCAGCTGGAATGAACTAAACAATCCAGATTTTTTGCGAACTTTTGCCCTTTTATAAAACGTTCCTTGTTGAAGGGCGAAACCGCAGCTAATTCAAACCAGCCGATTTAAGAACTACGCATTTTCTACGCAGTACTCATTGCACAGTACTCGTAAAGTGGCTGATTTGAAATTTGTGCTAAAATTTTCCAAAATCCCCAGATGAACAAAACTCGGTCAGTTTGAGGTCTCGTGGCATGCACCGATGGGCAAAAATGGCAATTTTCCAGAGACAATTTGTGCATCCCAAAGGTTCGCGTAGTTAATCGGACATATTAAATCATTCGCAACCGATACCGCAATCGCTCGTTGGCGGAAACTTTTCAGATTCGCGTGCTGGAATCGCGCTGCTGATGAAACCACCCCCGGCCCATTTGTAACCCAAATTAGTTCATTTGTAACCCGTTTTCCGTGCGCTACTGAATTTATTAAAGATCCTACTTAAAAGTTCGCCCTAGATTTCGAGAAGTGGCTAATGAAGCCCGTCGACTGTTTGGAATTAAGTGTGCCGTTTAATTATGCCATCTTTTCCCTGCTGGATTTGGTGCTGTTTTTCTTTCCAGAAACTATAACGGTGTCCAGAACCTAACGTAAAACGTTCCTGGACACCAGATCCAGAGTTTTATTTTATTGGCAAGTTTTATTAATTGGAGCAATTAATCTGATTGGTCTGGCCTGTTGTTGCTGGCAGCTGGAAAATGCTTTCCTAATTACCGGCTCTGGAAAATGGAAGCAACCACTAACTTAAGTAAACAGTCATACAGCAGCAGTTTACCGGCTTGTTTTGCGCCCTGTATTACCGTAATTTCGACTAGAACTTGCCTATCCAAATGGGAAACTATGCCATTTATGTCTGGAACAAGTTGCCAGCTTGGCACCGCGTGATGGATTAGCGATTGTGCATTAATCCCTTTAAGTACCAGATGTGAGGATTTCAAAAAGTCAAACGAGCGGCTCTGGTTTGGAGTTTTGCACTTTTTTGCACACAAACTAAGTTTATTTAGCTGTAGTTTTGGTGGTGTGTCATTGCCCGGGGCGATTTTGTGGCAAACTTTTGCTTAAACTGCCCCAAACCGCTATTTAGAGCCGCTTCAAAAGCATTCTCGTGTAAATGATAAAAGTAATAATTAAAACTTGTGTGACTGAAAAATATGGGGCCGGATTATAAAATGATCCCTAAAATGCGTTGTTTCAGGTCAATGTGTCCAACATGCGGATTGTGGGACTTCATCTGATAATAACCGTGCTCAGTTGGAGCCTCTGGACCGATTCGGCCACCTGTTTTGATATCGGTAAGTGAAAATTGACGTGATTGTTCAATGTGTGTGTTCACCTCAATGTTCCTCAAGTTGATTGTGAATGCATTACGTGGCGCTTTATTAGCTCGTTCTGAACTGAAACACTTTGTCGTTAAATTTATAAACTACCATGAATATTTTACAGCCTCAGTAATGGAAGTGTCCGCAGCTAGATCGGGGGCACGAAAGCCTAACAATATATAATTTTATTCCATAATATTAATAAATCAGATCGGGTTCGTGTTTTTAGCGCAACCGTGTACTGAAGGCTGTTTTTGCATCGAACATTTACACTGATAACATGTTCGGTGTGCCGATTCGATCGATTTCATTCAACTCAGTCGGGCGCAATTGGAATTTGTATTTAAATTTCCCGGTTGTTTGGAGTTTTCGCAAAAAATTATTAGTTAATTCGGAATGTTCGTATCAAACAATCTCTAATTCGATCGTTTTTTTTGTGTTTTTCCTTCCAATCGAAAAAAGGGGGATTTAATCAATGCGCTGATGCAATTGAAAGTTTGTTTTGTCCGCAAGTGCACGCGATATGATTAACAGAACACAAAATCCAAAAGTGTGAAATTTTTGGTCGAAAAACGGCAGAGATTGAGGCTGATATTCACAAAGCTCAGGATTTCAGCAGATTTTTAAGTTAAGTAAGTTTTAGCATCGTTTAAGACAAATCTCGTCTCAGGATGGTGAACATTGCCAATCGCTGCTTGTGTTCGTTTGAACGACTCGAACGTTTAAAAAGGAGAGCGCAGTTGTCTGATAACATTTATTTCTACTAAGCCCACATGAAAAAAATCAGAGCATAGTGATTCCTATGAAATTTCGTGCATCTTTAGGATCATGTTTTGTTGTTCTCCTATCGGCACAACATTTACATTAAAACCCAATGGTTCAAGCGAAGTGGTTTACTGTATTTGATATCCAGAGCCCTTAGGGCGCGACACTGATTTTAATTCAAAAAACCTTCCAAACTATTTTATTTGAGGATTTTTGTTGTCCTACCTGTGTCGTACCCGAAGGGCTCGGCACAACAATTACAATAAAACTCAAAATGATCGAGACTAAGTAATCTTCGACATCCAATGGAGGTTATTGTATTTGTTGTGCCGAACCCTTTGGGCACGACACTGATTTTAATGCAAAAAACATTCCAAACGGTTTGGTTTGTCAATTTTTGTTCTCCTGCCAGTGTCGTGCCCGAAGGGCTCGACACAACAATTACTTTAGAACCCAATGGTTGAAACTAAGTGATCTTCGACATCCAGTGGAGTTTATTGTATTTGTTGTGCCGAACCCTTCGGGCACGACACTGATTTTAATGCAAAAACCTTCCATACTGGCTGATTTGTTAGTTTTTGTTCTCTTACCAGTGTCGTGCCCGAAGGGCTAGGCACAACAGTTACATTAGAAACCAATAGTTAAAACTAATTGATTTTCGACATCCAGTGGAGTTTATTGTATTTGTTGTGCCGAGCCCTTTGGGCATGACACTGATGTTAATGCAAAAAACATACCAAACTGTTTGGATTATCAATTTTTGTTCTCCTGCCAGTGTCGTGCCTGAAGGGCTCGACACAACAATTACATTAGAACTCAATGGTTGAAACTAAGTGATTTTCGGCATCCAGTGGAGTTTATGGTATTTGTTGTGCCGAGCCCTTCGGGCACGACACTGATTTTAATGCAGAAAATTTTCGAAACTGTCTGATTTGTCGTTTTGCGCTCTCCTACCAGTGTCGGGCCCGAAGGGCTCGGCACAACATATACATTAGAACCCACTGGTTGGAACTTAGTGATCTTGGACATCGACTGGAGTAAATTCACCATTTTTAGAAGACAGTTCACTGTTTAAAACCTGAAAGTTTCACAACATTCTCAGGGAGTCCCGATTCTTGCCAGCTCAGTAAACATCAAGCAAGGAGCAATTTAAAATCTTCACCATGCTTAGAAGATATATGTCCCTGTTCTCCGAAAGTTTCAGGACAATTAAATGGAATAATAATTTTTTCCGGCTTAGTAAACATCTGCAAGCCTTGTAGATTGGTAGAGCCATAACTGCTCAGCAACTGGGCATTTATTCAAAAAATCGGCAATGGAAAGGGGTGGTTTTCAGGGTCGAACAGGCCATTTTTTTAGCAGGTTCACATTGATGGCGGCCGTGGAAGAAGAGCCGCCTAAATCCAGCATGGAAAGTCGGTTAAATTGCGTGTCACTTCCGTAAGACGAATAGCCCAACGTGGAATCTGTTTCAACTCGCCCTTAGAAGGGCCCAAGGGGTGGAAAAAACAGGCCAAAGAGGAATTCGACCTATTAAGCGCGGTAGACTAAAAGAACTGCTCAAGTATTTCTAATTATACATTTCTTCGCAAGTTTTCGCCTAGCGAGTTGGGCGCGGGCAAGATTTCGGCTTGCAGGAGTAATTTGAATTCTCCCCCGTTTTCTCAACCTAGTTGAAATTCCTTGTTGTCCTATTCGTCTTTTCAGGTGCGACATGCAATTTGTCGTGTTGGAGAAACTTTGAAAATTGAGGCCAGTTTTTTTGGTGTTTTTCCTCTCGGCCGCCTTATTTGCGCCCATCATTCGAAGAAGCCTTTTCCCTGCCTTGTTCCGACATCCTGAAAGCGGCAGGCAAATAAAATTAGCTAAACAAATACATTCTTTTCCTTCTTTCAAAAATGATAGCGATTTTAAAGATGAAAACGGGAATTTTCCATGCACAAAGAATGCCGGCTCGCTTAGTCTAATATACGTTGGAAGGCAATATTTCTCGAATGCCATTTCGGCAAAGTGAAGGGCATTATCTGCATTCTAAATGATGCCGAGATCCTTTTCCTTTTTTCTTGCTGTTGTTGTTTTTTCGATCCTCGTCGTATTGAAAATTGTAAAATTGTTCAAAAACCCTGCTCGAAATTAATTTCATCGAACGACAAAACAATGAGAATATTTAAATTAATCCGATTGACATGTTTTACCTGCCGGCACTCGAAATATGTGAATAATTAAACGTATTTGCATACAAATGTAAATCTGAAACATAAACAGCGAAAAGCTTTTAAAATTGCGCCAATGTGTTGGGTCCTTGAATAAATGAAACAGTTTCTGGGGGAAAAGTGGATGAAAATTGATTTGTTGGCAATAAAACCCCCACTAACATGCAATCAAGCTCCATAGAGTGAGTGCATCGGAGGCAAAGCGCTGCGCTAATAAAATCCGGATTAATAGACGCAAAAAAATCGGACGAAAAAGGAAAAGAGGAAGAAAATTGAGCGCCAGTGGGTCATTGGAGCATCATGATCGAAAAGCAGAAAAATTGGCAATTTCGGGTTTTTTTTCTTTCGGAAAATAATATCGCGTCCAGTTACGGACAAGATGAGCTTTTAATTACGACAAAAATGCAATTTTAAAGCGCATTTTTGCCCGATTGGACTTCGATTCTCATTTCCGAGCGGCGTTTTCATGCATCTCATAAGAAGCCGGAAAAGTGGCAATTTTTGCCTTATTAATGGCATTCAAACATATCTTATATGTGCAAACCGAAGCGCTTCTTCAGTCGAAGGTTATGCATTGAGCTCGAAAAGTGTAATACTTATTTGGCTTCAAAGATTCTGAACGCTTTATCAAAATCGCCCAGAAGCCTGTTTACTTAGTAAATATCAGTCTCAAATGGATCTTTTCACTCAACTGCGCCTTTAAAAATTCACATCTTCAAAACATCCAGTGAAGTTTAATGTATTTCTTGTGGCGCTGGCAGAAGAAATATAGAAAAAAACACGCAAGCAATCAGACAGTTGTAAATATTTTTGCATTCAGGTCAGTGTCGTGCCCGAAGCTTTGGGCGCAACAGATACATTGGAGTCTAATAAATGTTCAAGGAAATTTTAAAATCCAGTTTAAATCCAGAGTTTAATGTTGAATTGAATGTCGATTGAATGCTCAAAAACCTTGTCAACCGTCTGATTGCTTGTGTGTGGTTCTTCTACCAGTGTTGTGCCCGAAGGGCTCGGCACAACAAATACATTCGAGTCGCCCGAAGAGATCGGCACAATAATACATGGGAGTCTCATAAGTGTATAAGGGAACTTCGAAATTCAGTGGAGTTGAATGTATTTGTTGTTCCGAGCACGTCCGGCACAACAATGGATTAAATTCCGAAAAATGTTTCCAACTGTCTGATTGTTTGTTTCTTGTTCTTCTACCAGTGTTGTGCCCGAAGGGCTCGACACAACAAAAAAAAATTAGTTTAATAAATGTCCAAGCAAATTTTGAAATCCAGTGGAGTTTAATGTTGAATTGGATGTGGATTGAATGCAGAAAAACATTGCCAACCGTCTGATTGCTTGTTTATTGTGCTTTTGCCAGTGTTGTGCCCGAAGGGCTCGGCACAACAAATACATGGGAGTTTAATAAATGTTCAAGGAAACTTCGAAATCCAATGAAGTTGAATGAATTTGTTGTTCCGAGCACTTCAGGCACGACACTGGATTGGATGCAAAAAATCCTTCCTAACTGTCTGATTTATTGTTTATTGTTGTTCTACCAGTGTTGTACCCGAAGGGCTCGACACAACAAAAAAAATCGAGTTTAATAAATGTCCAAGGAAACTTCGAAGTCCAGTGGAGTTTAATGTATTTGATATGCCGATCCCTGCGGGCACGACACTGAATTGAATGCAGAAAAACCTTTCTGACTGTCTGATTGCTTGTTTGTGGTTCTTCTGCCAGTGTTCAACGAATGTTCCAGTAGTCTTCTACCAATAAAAGTAAATTTGATGCACGGTCGAAATTAACATCAATTTGAACTGTTGAAGAACACAATTCAAAAACTAACCAAAAAAATGTTATCACGCTGTCACCTTTGACAACAAATCTCTGCTTGGAAACATGGTTGCCGTTGTGAGGTTTCATCAGACTTACATTTTTCCATGTGAAGATTTCTTGTAAATGAGAAAAAAATTACTACTATAATCAGGCATTGGTTAAAGACAC